CTATGTAAATTGTCAGTTATAATAATAATATAACTGAATATTTATCTCTCGTATGATAATCTGTCCGTTTGAAGTGTGCAATTATCGTTGAGTGATTGTTTACAAAAAATATTTGACAGGTGTCTTTCATGATGAATTAGACATAAAATGTCTTCCTGACATACCTAAGATATTAAAATTATATTTAATAAACATAAGTAATAAAATATAATAGAAATGAAATTAATTCACATTAACTTTGTTTACTCAGGAAATATTCATAAAAATTACACTCGTGCATCAAAATAAACATATAATTTTGCATTCGAGCTTGTTGTCTTGTAAAAACTGCATTCGTTTATTTTCACATTGGAACGAAAAAGTCCTCCTCCTTCTCATGCAGCTTTTAGACAAAAGCTTTCATGCAAAATTATCGGTAATTTTGAAGCACTTGTGCAATTACCCCCGACAATTTACACAGACGAATTATCAGAGCGAATTTTCATATACTGTATTATCATCCTACTATTGTTTCACAATTTATTAACATCCTCTTTTTTAGATTCATTTAGGTTCTTTTAATAACGATAGCAGAAAATAGCTATCGAAACGTCAAGGTAATTTTTCAAATTAATTTCTCTACTAATTGGAATTTTCTCTTACAGCTTGAGCCTAAGTGTGTCGCAGGATACCCTCTAGCTGATAGTTCTTGATAAATAATTCGTTCTTATTGCGAAATAGGAGCACTATTTATCAATCTGTTGACAAAAAGACAAACATTTTTGAGGCGAACAACCCAAAAAGAAGTTTGTAAAAAAATGAACTGCATGCAAAGAACACGCTTCAATTCGTCGTACGTTTTAAGTTGGGGTTGTGTCCATAGAAGGGGCCCACTCGATGCTGGACCGGCACGGGCGACTTTTGATTATACTGCAGCTTGGGAGGTTCATTTTGAGGTGTCAACGGCAAGGTGGGCACCCCTGGAGGCTTGATTATCTCCCCATTTGGCCCGTTAATTACTCGTCGCTGATGCAAAGCGATTATTTCCTGTGGCTTCGAGTTGATTGCCGCATTATGCTGGGCGGTCATCATTCTGAAATAATAGCAAAAAATCGATTTATTTCGCAGTCACCCGATTTACATAAAAAAAAATAAAGCGCACCTCAATGTTCCTGCTGCAGACGGTTCCGGGATTCCCTCTGGTCGGGGAGACGCTGCAATGGCTGCCCCACTTTGCAACTTGATGCTCAACATGTTGGCAAGCGCCGTTTTGGTCTTTGGATTGACCTAAATGCGCGATTTTAGTTGCGACTCTCAACCAACTAATCGACCGAAGCAATTACCTGCACTTGGGGATTCGTTGTAGAGTCAGCAGCGGGCGGTTGCGCCAAAGGGGGCCTCACTGGAGCTTGTTGTTGGGGCATGCCACCTACCATTAGCAAATCATGAAAACGCCGAAATCATTGGCTTTAAAAAAAAGTAGGTACCTTGCTGCGCCATGGCGTTCTTCTGAGCTTGCTCCCTCTGAAGCTGCAGCTGTTGCAACCTGAAACTTCGACATTGAGTCCGTTGGTTTATTGCAATGTTTCCCTTCGTACCTGTACTGCTGCCTCAGCTGCAACTGCTGAGCTGTGGACTGATCCCCGACGAATTGCTGAGCCTGGCCGGATGTACTCGCTTGATTAATGGGGCTCAAGCCAGGCGCATGCTGGGGCGGTCCTGCTGAGGGCGGCGTTGTCTGCTGCGGAGTCACGTTCCCTAAAACCAAACGAAAAGTTTTCATGCAACAGCAAACTCATTAAAATGAACTGATCTTTCGAAAGTACAAAATGCCACATTTTTACCTCATTACTACAGGCCCCACTCGATCGCACCTAAACCTGGACCAATCGGTCTTAGAGCGCAAACCGAATAAATAGATCTTTCGCCGCAAAATTGCGCAAAAAAAAATTGGTATTCCTACCTAACTATAGCTACTAAATATGGCAAATCGAAAAACTACCTGGTGTTAAATTTTGCTGAATATTCGGCGGAAGAACGATGCCCTGCTGCTTGGCCTGTTGTTGCAGCCACTGCACTTGTTGCTGCGGCGTTAAACCTTGAGGTACGTTGCCTAAAACGTACGTATTTCACTTATAGATTGCTCAACGCTCGCGCAAATGTCCAGAAAAAAGCCTCCGCCAGGTCAAATGAACGAACTCACCTCGAATGAGAATGTGGCCGCCAGTCCTTTGCTGCACCTGCTTGGCCAGTTGCAGTTGCTGCCGCTGTTTCTGTTGCAGCTTGGCGACAAACAGAGCCTGCTGCTCCGGGGGCATCTTCTGAAGCTGGTTGTGAGTGTGGGCATCTAAAAGCAAAGAACATCCCTTATAACACACCGCTTTAATTTAAAGCAACGTAAAACTCACCCAGTTGTATGAACTGCCGTTGGGGTGCCCCTGGCTGCTGTCCATGCGGCCACTGAACTCTCGGTCCTGCTGGACCATTAGTAGGCGACTGCTGAACTGCCACATGGCCGACTATGCGCTGAGCTGCAGCAGGATTTTTAGATAGTAACTCGAACACCTACACCGTAAATTAACATACTTTGAATCGGCGAGCCGCCTTGCTGCTGCTGCTGCTGCTGCTGCGCCCAAATTTGTTGATTCAGTTGCGCTCGCTGCACGCCACCCTGTTGGCCTTGATTGACCAAGACCTGCTGCGAAAACTGAGTCCTGATGACTTGCGGGTTCATTTGCTGATTGAGGGTCGGCTGGCTCAAGTTGCCCTGCTGCTGACTCAACAGTCCCAGTTTGGCGGTGATGCTCTGCTCGAGGGCTAGATTTGGATTGATGCCCGGCTGCTGGCTCTGCTGCATCAGCTGCTGATTAAGTTGCTGGCCGAGGTTCTGCTGTTGCAGCTGCTGATTCAACGTCTGCACGCTCATCTGGTTTTGATTGCCATGATTCAACTTCGACTGTTGCTGCTGCTGCTGCTGCTGCTGGATGACATCGAACTGGCTCTGATTGAGAAACTGGCCTTGATTGGGCACGGATTGCTGGCTCTGGATGAGCTGTTGATGCTGACTGGTGGCAATCTGTTGCTGCCCGAATATCTGTTGCTTTTGCCCCATCACATGCTGGTTCATCGGACCGGAGTTGAAGCTCTGATTCTGAGCCAGCTGCTGTTGCTGAATAGTGCGACTCTGGATAATTTGTTGCTGATGCTGATTCTGCCCGATGATCTGCTGGTTTTGGTTGCCATTGGCGGCACTCTGCTGGTTCAGCTGATTCATCACCATGCTTTGCTGATTCAAATTTCCAAGCTGGTTTTGGGTTTGGCTCAACAGCTGCTGTTGCTCGCGCTTCAGCTGCTTCAACTGCTGCAGCTGTTGCGGGCTCAACTGGCTTAAGTGGTGATTCGAGGGCAAACTTAACAAGGTTTGCTGGGGATTGCCCTGGTTCAGCAGTTGTTGCTGATTGAGCATTTGGGGTTGCCGAATAATGGCGCCCTGCTGCTGATTTTGCTGAATCAGCTGGTGGTTGGCTTGGTTCTGCTGCAGCAGCTGATTGGGACCTTGTTGATGAAGCTGCTGGCTGTGCTGAATGATTTGCTGGTTCTGTTGCATCATCTGTGAGCTCTGGCTCGACTGCGGCCCGAGCAGCTGATTTTGCAACTCTTCCTGCGCTTGCTGCTGAGTAATGTGCTGCTGCTGCTGTTGTTGTTGGTTGCCTTGAATGATTTGGTTTTGCAGCTGATTGGCGCGCTCCTGCTGCATGTTGAGTTGCTGTTGGTTCAACAGCTGATTGGCTCGTTCCTGATGCTGTTGGTTCAGCTGGTTCTGAATCTGCTGCTGTTGCTGCTGATGAATCAACTGACTCTGCATCGAACTAACTGTGGACTGTTGGCTCTGCTGTTGCTGCAGCTGGTTGACCGGCGATTGCTGGCTTTGCTGCAGCATCTGGCTCTGGATTTGCTGATGCTGCGGACTGAGCAGTTGGTTCTGGTGCTGAGGCGGGCTCATCATCTGGTTTCGACTGGGCGATCGCTCGATGGAATTTTGCCCATGTGAAATATCCATTGGCTGATTGAACTGGGCATTTTGGTTTTGTATCAACGCCTCCTGCCCATGGGACTCGAGCTGCTGTTGATTGAGCAGGTTCTGCTGGCTGAGCAGCTGATTCTGAATCACCTGTCGCTGTCCCTGGCTCAAGTGCTGATGCAGCAGCTGCTGGTTCATGTTGATCTGGCCGGTAGAAGTGCGCTGAATGATGCTCTGCTGTTGGATGTGCTGTTGGAGCAGCTGCTGATGGATCTGAGATGTGTTCAGTTGGCCTCTGAGCTGCTGCAGACTGTTCGGCCGGTTCGGCTGTCCAATCATTCTGTTGATGTTTAGAGGGCCGGATTGCATTGGCTGCTGCTGAGTGTTGGCGGTGTGATGCACTATGGACCTGGGCATATGATTAGCGGTCGATATGAAGCTAGATGCTGCCGCTGTAGCTGCAGGGGAGACTGGGGGCTTGAAACCTTGCTCTCTGGATACTGTCGGGATCTTGTTGATATAACTAGGCGCCACCACATTGGGAGGGGCCACTGGATCACTGCTGGACGTAGGAGACACGCTAGAAGTGGGGACTGGCTGGTTCCAAGGCATGCGTTGCTTCAGCTTCTCCAGCAAAGCTTGCGTGCTATCGGACATAGTCTTTTCCTCGCTCTTCGCAGAACTGTCCGGCTCGAAGCCGGTGATGGCCGTCGTTGGCTCCGATGGCTTGACCGGCCGCGGCCAATTGATCAACTTCGGATGAAACAAGCCAGGATCGGGCAACATCTGCAATTTCACTGCCTCCATCACCCAGTCTGGCGTGACAATTTTCACTCGATCAGCGCCCACTGCACAGGCCTTCTCGTATTTGGGGCCCGCGGTCGCTCCAGTCACTAAATAATCACACATGCGAGTCAGTTTCATATGCACCGAGCCGCCATTGTACGTAATCAACGCCCATAGACTGTTGCGATCTTCTCTTATTGTAGAAAAAGAGAACACTTTGCCGCTGAACAGTTTGGTCTCAGTCGTGTACAGGTAGGGGTTGAAGTCGATCCTTCTTTGCAAGGAGACGCACATGAGAATCCACTTGGGGTTGACCGCTGGGATTTCGTAGACATCATTGGCGTCCACTATGTCATTTTCTTCGGGATTTCTACCCACTATTAAGTGAGTTACGTAGTCGGAGAAGTAGTTCTGATGCTCGGCGCCACCTGCTTTCAGTAGATGTTCAACCTGTAAAAACATTCAACGGTTAAAACGCTTTGCTCCACATKTTGTGCACAAGTGTTTGTTGCGCTTTTTAATAATCGTAGAAAATGCAAATCGGGTTCGAAAAATGTGTAGCAACTAAAGCCGAACAGGATTTTGGCTGAAATTTTGAAGGCTCATAACTGCTGAAATTTTAACCATGCAGAGAGGACTTGCTTGTTGTTTCTTTGCAGAAAAATCCCGAAAAAGATTTGGTTTTTCATTCAACAGTTATTTAACCAAATCTGAATACAACATTTTGGCTAGTTATAACAGAAACTCTAGCGGGAGGCATGTTTTCTAGAAACGTTAGTGCAGAAGACGATGATATTATAATCTGCACATGACTCTGAAGTCCATTCATGTAGAAGTTGAATTAAAACAATAGCAACAGCAGCAGGATTCAATATTGCATCTCGTGTTTTCAACTTCCTAACGTTTTAAGGATGAAACAAATTCGAGTCTGTGGACTTGCAAGAACTTCCCGGGCCCAAAACAACAATACCAAGGTGACGCTTTCTGAATGCCTAACTGCTTGTGGGGCTTCGCCCCAATAAAGAGCCTACGCAGCATCCAGGACTGAACCATATATTCGTAAATAAACAGAAACACTATCAACAATTCAGCACGTTGCAACCACTAAGGGCCAAAATGCCTTCATGCTCGCTCACCTTCTCATGGACTTCGCCAGTGATAAAATACTTGATATCCTTGAAAATGTCTTTGGGGATCTCCAGACTTGCGAACTTTTCATTCAAGTCGCCCATTTTCCGATTTTAGGACAAACATTTGAAATTAGCAAGATTTGTTTACAACACCATCATTTTTGCGATGTCAGGCACGTGTCAACCATAGATGAAGACAAGTGAACGATGCCTCCACAGATTATCAAACTATTGCCACCAAAAAATCCAGTGCCACCAACATGGCTACTGAATTAACCTAGAGGGCTAATAAATTGGAATTTGTGTGAAAACTATAAATATTAAATGTTTGAAGCCAAAAACATATAAATGGTTATCAAAAAGCAAAAGAAAAATTTTCTGAGTAATCACAACGAATTTTGTGAAACCGCGCCCTTTTAATTATTTGAGAAATGATTGCAAGAGAGAGATGAGCAACGCGCGCTCTTCTGGTTGGACAAGGACAACCAGTTTTAGTAGCACAAAGCGAGAGCTAGAAACAATTCTATTCAAACCTAACAAACACTTTAAGGTGTCAATAGCAGAAATTTTTTGGAAATAAAAAATTCCAAGTGTGAATTTATAAACCAATTTTTAAAACACTATTAGGATATTATGGTGGCAGCCTGCCGGAATGACATTGACAGGTTGACGGGTGTGAGCGGTGACACATCAACCCAACATAAATATACCATTGATATTTGGAAAGGCTGCCCGAAAATCCAAAAATATCGCCCTGATCGGCAGTCGTTTGCTAATTACAAGAATAACGGAAAGTGTCACAGACCATCGTTGAAATGGCGGAAGCCGATAAACTAAATATCGACTCCATCATAGCCCGTTTATTGGAAGGTAAAGTTGAGAAGGTCATCGAGTTCGGCGATTGAAGAAGTTAATATGGCGTCGAATTTTGGTTTACGCCTTGAAAAATATGAACATTGTTTTAAATGCGAATGGGGGGCGGCTAAGAATAATTGTGTGTTTTAGTGCGAGGTGCCCGACCCGGTAAGAATGTCCAGCTTACCGAAAACGAAATCCGGGGCTTGTGCTTAAAGTCGAGGGAGATTTTCCTCAGTCAGCCAATCCTATTGGAATTGGAAGCCCCCCTGAAAATATGTGGTAAGTGTTCGATGTCACTTTGGGTGTGTACTCTAAATCATTAATTCATTGTTTAGTTTAAAGAGCACAGTTCACGACTGGTTATATAAAATCCAAAACAAAAATAGCATTCTTGAAGGCTAAATTGCTAAAATTGCTAAGCTTCAACTGTGAAAAGTGTTTCTCATTAAGAGTCGCAGCACTGACAAACTTGCCTAATGTTTACTAACAAAAGATCCGAAGAAAGCCGGAATTTCTGCTACTAATTTTTTCCTCCTGAGCTTGGCCGAAAATAGCAACAAACACTGCATTAAATGTGGGCTAAGTAAATGAAAGGAAACAGCAATTCCTTTTATTTGAAAAATGTGAATTTTATCAACTGCCCCAAACGTTCTCAGCCGTAAAAAAGGGAAAGTTTCAGTCGCCAGTAAAAAAAGGGCATTATTTTATCCACATCGATAATCTCTTTTAGCGCACCGTTGACGGGATGATTTAATGGAATCGTCGCCGTTAATCTGAACATCAGAGGATAAACCGGCATTACCACGAAACGAGCATCAAAAACTATAACTCATGTTTCTATGTATGTAATTAAAAAAAATGTCAGATCATTTATAGAGGCTGAGAAGAGGATAATATGAAATTTATTGGAACCAGCAAGGAAATAAATCACCAAAGTTTGAGCGTTCACAAGCAGAAAAATTCATAGAATAAAGTACACCGTGCAAGTCAGTGTGGAATTCTACTCCTCTGCTCATCGGGAAAACTCAGTTTCAAACATCTGAACTTCACGAACCCCCGAAATTGTTAGAATATAAACTTTTTGCAGTGAGTAGTTCTTCCCAATTTTTAGCTAAACTTTCTCTTCATTTCAGGCGATATTCACGGCCAATACTACGATCTGTTGCGTCTGTTCGAGTATGGTGGCTTTCCTCCGGAATCAAATTATTTATTTTTAGGTAACTCTTTATCACTTAATTGTCTGATCTTGGCTCATTCTTTGTCCTTGTCGCAGGTGACTATGTTGATCGTGGAAAGCAATCTCTTGAAACAATATGCCTCTTGCTGGCCTACAAAATCAAATATCCAGAGAATTTTTTCCTTCTTCGCGGCAATCATGAGTGCGCTTCCATCAATAGGATCTACGGTTTCTACGACGAATGTAAAAGAAGGTAAGCAATCGCTCAATTTCCCTAATCATTGCTATTCATCCCATCATCAGCTAATCTCCGGTATTTTTGCCAGGTACAACATTAAACTGTGGAAGACTTTTACGGACTGTTTCAACTGTCTTCCAGTAGCTGCTATAGTAGATGAGAAGATCTTCTGTTGTCATGGAGGTAAAACCGCTTATTTCTACAAATTTCCTTCATATCAAATAATCACTTTTGGGCCTTTGTAGGTTTAAGTCCAGATCTGCAATCAATGGAACAAATAAGGAGAATAATGCGGCCCACAGACGTACCTGACCAAGGACTGTTATGTGATCTGCTCTGGTCTGATCCCGACAAGGATCAGTTGGGTTGGGGAGAAAATGACAGAGGTGTCAGTTTCACTTTTGGAGCCGAAGTAAGTTCTTATTTCCCTGCCTAACTGGATCGCTCCTTAATCGACTTTGTTGCCTCGCAGGTTGTCGGGAAATTCCTTCACAAACATGACTTCGATTTAATCTGTCGAGCACATCAAGTGGTGGAAGATGGATATGAATTTTTCGCGAAACGACAACTGGTTACTCTGTTCAGCGCGCCCAATTACTGCGGTAAGGCTTCAGCGCCTCGTCATCTAGACTAGTCTATTATTTTTTTGGGTTTTTCCAGGCGAATTTGATAATGCGGGAGCCATGATGTCGGTCGATGAAACCTTGATGTGTTCGTTCCAGATACTGAAACCGGCAGATAAAAGGAAATTCCAGTACAATATGAATTCGGGCAGGCCGGTGACGCCGCCCCGCGGTGCCACCAACAAAAACAAGAAAAAATGAGACAATTTTTGGATCACTCTAGGTTAGGCGAATCAATAGGCTGCAGCCTTATCCGTTGTTGTTTTTTTCATTAGGGGAGTTCTCGTTTCCGCTGCGTCTCTAACTGTGTCAAGAGTCTATCGATTTCATCACATTTTAACAGTCTCATCGTTTTTAGTTCACTAACATTTGGCATCTGCCTCAAGGTTTTGCTGCATTTGTTAACAATTTGCTGATGTTCCATTCCAAAGTGTATTAATTTTATTCAAATCTACATTCTTTCACTTGACAAAACTTGTTATTCTCAAGCTTGTTTCTAAATGTATTTTTATCAAACACTTGCAATAGACTCGTTACAATATTTCATTGTACATTTTTATTTTTTATCCTTGCGAAGACGTATTTAATTTAATTTTCGGCTTTCGGATCGATGGGTGAAATACGGCTCAGAAATTGTAGAGAAAATAGTTGTTTATTGTTGTGTCCCCTCCAAGTTTTACTGTATTAATAAGGTATTACTCACCTTTAATCCGGTGATAGTCTGGAAACCTGCAAACAAACAATGAGCGCGTTGCATAAAAAATAAAAATGTACGTTTGACACGGATCGGCCCCCTTAAGTCTTAAATCATAATTTCATTTCATTTCACAAAAGGCATTTATTTCATGTAGAAGGTGAATTTGTGTGTGCATGAAATGATGCGTGTGATTTCACTTCAACATCATATCGATCAGTCTGGTAAAGACTGATCGATATGATGTAAAACCCGGTAAAGTGAGTTTAGTTTTCTAACTGCTAATTTGGGGGCATGATGTGCGACGATTACGCGAAGTTCTTCCAAAGTTCCAACTTTCAAGTTACTTGACTTACTAACAGTTGTAAAAAATTCAGAGTAACATAAGAAGTAAACATTTTTGGTCTTATTTTTACAGATTACGGTTTGATGTAATTAATTCTTTAAAAAAAAACTTAGCTAGTTCTGTAGAATTAGGCCCGAAAGTTCGGGTAGCGAAAATTGTATTAAGTATTATAAAATCGAGCGTAGGCCTTACGGGTGACCGTCTAATAATAATGTCTAGAATCCCTGTTAAAAATAAGCCTAAAAAGTAACAATCTTCATTTGGATGACACCGCGACCACTCTCCCCCAAACTTTTTGTTTATTTGCTAAAAATATATTTTTATATGTACGATTTTGTTTCAATTTGATTTTTTCACTCCGGGTCGGATGGCGGTGAACCTTCAAGCGCTCCGCCTGTTTGTAGCTTCACCAACATCACAAGAAACGTGTCGCCAAACCATTTTTACACTGCGTATCTGAGCGCAACCAACGTTTTTGTATTTATTTTATCTTGATCTGTTTTTATGTCTAATTGAATACTGATAAAAAAATTGAAAAATACTGCATACAATTGTAGTTTTATTCTTCCTTCAGTGCGATGTGAGCGGGACGCGTTACAGACGCATAACTCAGGGGCGGCAATTCGTCCCTATTACGGTCTCAAAGCCTCAAAACAAAAGCATTATTACCCGAAATTACCATAATCATTATGGTAATGTTTCATGGGCAAATCATCATACAATAAGCCTATTACCATAAAATGTCATTACTTTTCTCACCCACCTTAAATGTTTTCAACTTAGGCCACTTGGGCGAGTGTTCATTTGATGCACAAATACAACAAATTAGCATTAAAACAATTTTGAGGTGAAGAATTTCGTAATAATAGAGAACATTATTTTGGAGACCCTTCAAGGGATTTCAAACGCGCAACGTTTTGCTTTCTAATTTTCGAGCGTGGTGAATCGTGTTAAAATTAACACTTTTCCTTTCTACTTGTGTAAATGTTGGGAATGATTTATGACGTCAATGGGTGAACGATAGATCTTGAGACGCTCTTCAGAAAAGGTGTTAATGACTATTCAGCTGATTTCCACTATTTTCGCGATATTAATGAAAATGTTCTAGGGTTCTACGACAGAAGGCTCTTATCGCGTTGGAGATACTCGAGATTTCCCTCAATAAACGATGTTTTTCTGTCCCTTTAATTACGATTGATTCGAAATTGTTCACCGCTTCGGAGAAAAAACTAATATGCACAAGGATCAAATACAGAGAAAATGTACACGTCTGCTTGCAGCCAATGAAAATGAAAAATTTGGAAAAGGGGCGATGACTTAACCTAAGCTGATCCGCATCGAAGGACCAAAACAACGTCAATCCGCTGCCTTTCACCGTCCAACATGTAAATAGTTTTTCGTGCAAAACGGCCTTCGGTTGGCAACATTGAGTGGAAAACAACCAAGATGGCGTCGTGAATGTTTCTCACTCGGCCGTGTCCTTTATCGCGATTTTGATCAAATAAATAAACAAATAGACTGAGCCGGCGCTATCATTGTGTTCAAATGATAAGCCAAATAATTCAGCTAACTGATAACGGTGAAAAGGTCGGCGCTTTCAGCCAAAAAGTGTGTGAAAATCGAGCGTGAAATATGTGATTTCTTTGTTCGAACGGCCAGTGGCAGTGTCCATGTCAGATTTGCCATTATTTGATCATGTTTTCGAACGTTTCAGTACACTTTTCGAGCAGAAATTCGACTGTGGCAACCACCCCATTGGTAAGTGTTGTCAGCTTCCACCAGCTTCAGTCGCTAATTGGGGTGTTTTCATTGAAAACTCGCCCCAAATGTCACAAACATTCTTGGGCGTGTAGAGCGGAACGGAGCTGTGCCACTCTATTTTTGATATATTACGGTTTCTTCCAATTTTTATTAAAAATATCGATTGGGAGCTTATTGTGTGTTCTCCATCAGCTATAAATGGCTCTTAAGAGATTTATGGCTCGGATTTAGCTTAGTTCCATCCCGCTTGCCGGAAAAATCAGGTTTGCCAGCGATTTATTGGGGCAGAAGTATTCTCCTAAATTTGTCTCGATTTTTCGACAAATTCATCTTCTCGGCTTTACTCCTCGAATGCTGCTGATTTATGATTGATCACTGTACATGATTGATCTTTTTAGGGCTACACTCTAAAAATCGAATTAATCCGAGCCATTCCTCAACCCTCTCAAGCTCTAAGATTCACTTTAATCAGGCCCTTTTAGCTTTGTAAGATGAAGCCTGAAGATGAGTCGTCCGTACACTCGAAACAGGGTTATTTACATATACATTTTCTTCTAATAAATTGATTGTGTAGAAGAGTGTGTGTTCTTTGCCAGCAAAGGAAGTCCTTTCTATCGTTCTAGACTTCACTACGTCTTGATGCAAATAGTGAACAATTACTCTCGCAGCTCACAGTCAAAACTGTTGGAAGATATGACTTGACGCAGACTAACGAAGTCGCATAGCTGTGACTGATTCAGCTGCGACAGTAACTCAGTTAATTTAATTTTACAACTCCCGACATTTCTCCTCTAAAGTGGAAAGATGAAGGCAAGACCGAGGTTTCTGGCCCTGCAAAAGTGAAGAATGCAGCAACTACACCGGATCAACTGTGAATTGTAAAAGTATGCGAATGGAACGGGAGGGATGCCGATAGGATCAATAATAAGCCATTGTTGGCTATTAGGTGAACTTTTCGTTGCTGTCCGAGAGCTTAAAACTCTAAAGAGTTAATGATTTGAACCGAAAGCTTCTTGTCTAGTAGAATGGGAGAAAATGGGTTTGACTCTCATTCAAGTGAACTACACAAACGATTTAATCATCAGAATATTTGGACAGTTTCTCGAATCTTTGGACTCACTAAAAAACCATCAAGCAAAACCCGAGCGAATTGAAGCCTCTCCCTGCCTTGAGTCACACGTAAACAACGTTAATTTTAGAACTTCTGAGACATTATGAAATTGCCTGGTAATGAATCGCACGACACTTTTTTTTAAGCATTAATCCCCGTTCACTTTACGCATCATTGTCGAGCGCCGAGACATAAATATGCATGTAATCGCCGTTTGACTGAAAAAAAAAACAAATAAACTGTGCGGCAGTCGCGCTTTTCTCGAAATGTTGCAAATGTCCCGTCGAACGACAGCTTTTCAACTGCCATCCACATTGCGCCCCTATTGGAAACGACATGTGTTCCACTGTGGCACCCTCTCGGAAAAACGTTTCTCTATATTTAAATTTTCAGATTTAATAGGCCGTAAATCCATCAAGACGCGGATTTGGCCGCCGGCTTGTCAAAACCGCAGCTAAAGAAGCGAAATAATATAAATAAATAACACCCGACGGCAAAATGGGCAAACTTTGTCCAAGAGACGAAGAACATCGAATATTTTGAGAGCAAACAGCGAGGGAGGAGGGCACGACGCAATATTGCGAGCAATTATTTCTCGGAAAAATTCCCTTGTTCCCATATAGGAAATCTAGAGAAATTACCGAACCAAAAAGCTTTTAGTCATCGAGCCTCGCATTGCTTAAGAACAATTTAAATTACTCTTACTGTCTTGAAATAATGGCGATTAGCATATTTAGGAGTATGCTAATGAACAAGTTGGAAATGGTTAAATTATGATCCCAATTACAACTCGAGTTAACAAATTAGGAATTTAAATATTCGAGTACAAGTGTTATGAGAAGCAGAGCTCGCATTACCAGGTGCCTTGTCAACATCGTTCAGGTTATTATCAATACACGGTGATTTATGGCGAATTATGACACGTTGTGCTGAGAATACCCTTTTTTTAAAGACCAAACCAAGCCCAGAAATGATTTAGACATAAATCAATAGAAGACCATTTACTTTAAATATTCCAGAAGTTAGAAATTCATATCGTAGTTTTTGGAGTTTTGGGAATTTTTCAAATCTTTCAAAAATTTGTGTTGCAGAAACTAGACCAACGATAGAAAAAAAATTGTTCAGCAATTACTAGAAGGCACTTCACTTTATGCTCCCTAAAAGTTGCACATTCATATCGTAACTTTTGGAGTTTTGGCGAATTTATGAATTCGACTTGCAAATTTCCGCTGTTTTTTTTGCATTAAGAGACACTTTCAAAAAATCGTTCCGAAAAAACTCGACCAAAGTGAGAAATGTTTTATACAGCAATCAATAGATGACACTTTACTTTATACTCCCTAAAAGTTGCAAATGCATAGCGCAGGTTTTGGAGTTTTAGCGAATTTATGAATTCGACTTGCGAATTTCCGCTGTTTTTTTTGCATTAAGAGACACTTTCAAAAAAGTAGTTCTTTGAGAAACGAGACCAAAGAGAAAAACGTTTTGTACAGCAATCATACTCATTCATACCGCAGGTTTCGGAGTTTTAGCGAATTTATGAATTCGACTTGCAAAGTTCCGTTGTTTCTTTTACATTAAGAGGCACTTTCAAAAAATCGTTCCGAAAAAACTCGACCAAAGTGAGAAATGTTTTATACAGCAATCAATAGATGACACTTCACTTTATATTCCCTAAAAGATGCAAATTCATAGCGTAGCTTTTGGAATTTTTGCGAATTTATGAATTCGACTTGCAAAGTTCCGCTGTTTCTTTTGCATTAAGAGACACTTTCAAAAATGATTTCTGGGAAAACGAGACCAAAGAGAAAAACGTTTGATACAGCAATCAATAGAAGACACTTCACTTTATGCTCCCTAAAAGTTGCAAATTCATAGCGTAGCTTTTGGAGTTTTGGCGAATTTATGAATTCGACTTGCAAAGTTCCGTTGTTTCTTTTGTATTAAGAGACACTTTTAAAAAATCGTTCCGGGAAAACGAGACGAAAGAGAAAAACGTTTTGTACAGCAATCAATAGAAGACACTTCACTTTATGCTCCCTAAAAGTTGCAAATTCATAGCGTAGCTTTTGGAGTTTTGGCGAATTTATGAATTCGACTTGCAAAGTTCCGTTGTTTCTTTTGCATTAAGAGACACTTTCACAAATGATTTCTGGGAAAACGAGACCAAAGAGAAAAACGTTTGATACAGCAATCAATAGAAGACACTTCACTTTATGCTCCCTAAAAGTTGCAAATTCATAGCGTAGCTTTTGGA